GCATGTCAGTCGGATTTTGACCCAACCACATACCCTAAACCTCAAACCTTACCGATAAGTATAACATGCCCTAAACATCGCAATGTAAGTAGCATTGTGCATGTAAGATTTCTATACATGACTGCGACAGTGTGGGGCAACACATAGTATTCTCACCTTAAACCCGAAGCCCCTAAACCCTAAACACCCAAATCTGAAACCCTAAACCTTAAATTCCTAGCTTCGACAGGAAGTCCGCCTCGATGTTGATGTGGGTATTTCCAAGAAGCGGCTTTGTTCTCTTACATACCTCAGATTCAGAAAACCCCCGCTACGCGGACTCCAAAAAAACTATTTTTTGGGGAATCCCCTATGCAGCGCTGCCTGGATCCGGCATCCTTCTTTTCTTAACGCAATCACGATCATTTGCGCCGTTTAGGGTATAGGGTAGAGTAGGTTCTCCTCTACACGGCTCAACCCTTCGTGGAGTGTCAGGGGGGATTAGTAAGTAGGATGAGAATGGGAATAGCTGAAGTTGTTAGGGATATACAGTATTTTCAAAGTCCTCGAGACCATGCAAGTAAACCTTAAGCCCTACGACCAAACCTCTAATCCCTATAAGCCCCCATACAAACCCAGTTTCCATCTCATGCTCCGTGTTTTTCCACGTGCTTCTCCTTTCCTGAGGGAACATTCCCATATACCCCTGTATAATCCTTATACGAATCCTATGTTAATCCTATGTAATCCCTATATACCCCCTGTACACCCCAAGGGCTAAACCCTAAACCCTAATCCCTAAACCCCAGCCCCTAAACCCTAAACCTAATCCCTAAACCCTAGTCCCTAAACCCTAAGCCCCAAACCCTAGACCCTTATCGCTACACCCTAAACCCATCCCTAAAACCCCAACCCCTAATCCCTAAACCCCAATGGTTGAGGTGAATTTCCTTGGCATCCTCCAGCCATCGGCAGCCTTGAAGATCCGGCAGAAGCTTGTTAGCAGAAGGGTTCAGGGTTTAGGGTTCAGGGATTGGGGTAATGGAAAATAGATTGGAAACTACTATTTAGGGTGTAGGATTTAGGGTTTAGGGTTCAGGGTTATTGGGGTATATGGAGGGTCCTATAGGGATTTTAGGAATATATTGGGGATAATGGAAGAGAAAATGGAAATTACTATGATGGGGTTATATAGGGTTCAGGGTTCAGGGTTTAGGGTATAGGGTCTAGGATATGTAGGGTTTACAAGGGTTTAGGTCAGGATGTAGGGTTCAGGGTTGACAAAAACAGGATAATTTGGGGAACCCCGTTCCCTAGAAGGAGGACCCTGTGAATACGTGGCTCTATGACTCCTCAAGTGTCCTCAGTATTTGGGATGCGTAAAGCAGCCCTAAACCCTAAACCCTAAACCCCTAAACCGCTTTCCCTTCGGCCAACATGCAGGGCTTCTGCAGTGGCAAGTTTAGACATTGGGTACTTAGGGTTTAGGGTTTAGGGTTTAGGGCCCCCCCCCTCAGTAACAGTTGGATGATAATTATACTATGGTTATATATAGCCCTTAATAGGACCCCTAGTATCGACTGTTACTGGGTGGGGGCAGTACCCAATTTAGACACAACACTCTGCGCGCAGCATGAAGCCTCTCGCATGTTTCAAGATGATTGCTAGCAAGGTCCTCCTAACAGCGATCACACATGCAGAATAGTCGATGTCACCATATGGGTGGTTGTCGAAATTTGTGGTACCCTAAATTTTGAATATTAGGTGCCGTATTATAATAGGGATCCAAAAAGGGACCATAATTTCGACAACCACCCATACGAGTGTTTCTTGCATGTTGAAACTGTTATGGACTCTGGGTGCCTGCGCAGCACTCTGCTGTCAGGAAGGCCTTTGCCACAAAGTTGAGGATCCTTGCTCAAGTGAGCTAGAATCTAAACTCCTTAAAGCGGGTTATAGAAAAGATTATATAGGGGAATACTATGGCGGGTACTGAGAGGGGTACGAGGAGCGTAGACTATAGCTCAAATAGGGCTTCTCACATCGTAGGTTCCTTTAGGGTCCTGATCATCGGGCTTTTTTAGTTGATGGTACGTGAAGGACCATGATGCTGAGAAATTCGAATACACCCCCCAAAAACCCTTATGAAACGGCAACCGCGCCCCTTGGATGCATACTGTGCTCTGAATCATTTGCCTTCAGGGAATCAACGAGACGCCTTGCATGTGCCTCATGCTCGAAAGCCACCTGGCACCGTTCAGCACTACTGGTCTTGGGCCAGGATATCTCAAAGTGCATGAGACCTTTTATAGTCCCCCTTAAGAATCTAGGGGTTATATAGGGATAATGCAGAACAAGATGGAAACTACTATAGTGGGTTATATGGGGTTCAGGGTATAGTCCCCTTGAAATCCAACTTGAGGCAGGTGTGTTCGATCTACAAGGATGGTCCTTCTGCTTGCTGCTTAGAGAATACTACGATACAACTTCTTCATAGGGGGGGAGTTCGCAGGTGCCTCGACCTTGGAGGTTGTACGGCATTAGGGGCCCCAAAAGGGACAGCAACTTCGACAAGCTACCATGTTCGTTCGGCACCCCAGCAGTACACTTTTTACCTTTTTGTTTGAGGGTCCCCTTGTTAAAGCAGAACAGTAGGAAAAAGGGTACCCTTATCATTTTGGGTTTACTGGGGAACCTAGTTCACCGTCCCAGAGCACTTGTTCATGTGCGAAGAGGGCCTTGAGGCATAAGGAAGCAGCCTGCAACTTGCCTCTCTTTGGGTTTAGGGTTTTAGGGTTTGAGCAAGGAATGCAGGAATGGATCCTCATGGTAGCCCTCAGATAATCCCTGATGATAATGTGGTTTCCCTCATTCCCTGCTCACCAGGGGTAAGTTATACAACCCCTACATTATCCCAGTTTCCATTTCATTTTCCGTTCAGTTTCCTTTTAACTCTCCATTGTTGGGGGTGATATCTCTGACCCTACACTCCAAACCATAATCCGCAAACCCTGAATGCTAAATCCTGTAGAAGTGGTTATGAGGTGTGGAAAGCCTGAGGCCCCTATTCCCATGAGATATCTGCGGCGTCCCCAGGGTAATAGCCACGCGGTTTCGGGTTGAGGGTTCAGAATGTGGTGGAAGAAGCCCCCATTACAACGGTTACATTTCACTGTTTAGGGTTTAGAGTACTCTACGGGGTTTAGGAACACTCAAAAGACATGCCATAATCTTCATAATGTCACATGAGCTACAGTGAATATCTGGACCCTTCAGGGTGGACGCGAGGATTCCTGCGCAAGTTTAGTACAGTCCCTCATACCTTCCTCAACAAGGACCCATGTCCTTTGAATAGATTGGAAATATTGACTGTAGCTATGTCCAAAGTTGTTGTTCGTATGGAGGTCCACTCTAATCCCTACACCCTAAACGACCGTAAACCCGTTCATATAAAAGCCTGTCCCTTAAGACTCTAATTTTTTGGGTGGTTCCTACTCGTAGTATTTCAGGTAGATCCCCAAGGGACCACCAGGTAGGACAGAGCCTCTAAGCAACCTCCCTGTCAAAGCCAACCTTATCCTCCCAAATAGACCCCCCCCCCTCCTCTAAAAGCCTGTTACCCCAAAAAAGTGGGGTATAAAGGTTCTTATTACGGGTATGTGGACATCATAGGACAGAGCCTCTAAGTAAACTCTAGGTTGCTTTCTAGCTACCTTCTAAGTGTCCTGCTTCGGAGGTCTAAACTTGGGAGGCCAAAAATTGAGGTTCAGCAGGGATCCCACTGTCAGCCAAGGTATCATACCCATAACATTCACATGAGCCCCCGTCTAAACTCCTAGTGTCCCCCTTCATAACCCCTGTAGTAGTCCCCTATCATTTCCCCTATATAACCTCATTTAAGGAGTTTAGACTATGGCTCACAGAGAAATTCCACAACATGCTCTTCACTCCTTGCAGAAGAGGCATCCAGGTGCAAGAGGCATCATGCATCCGGATGTCGTTTGAAGCTGTGAGGTTGTGAGCCAGCCCTTCAAAAGAGGATCATCGATGCAGTCACCCCAATTGCCGAAAAGTATGTCAAGAGTGGAGAACCCTAGCTGCAACGAGAGCTCGAGCCGCCGCAGCTGTTGTTTAGGGTCTACGATTTAGGGTTTAGGATTTAGGGTTTAGGGTTGGTAATACTATGACCTCGGAAGGGGATCATGAGGGATATACACGCTTTTGGATGTGGGGTATCGAGTTTAGGGCACGGTCACCAAGATCATGGTCTTAGATTCCTTGTACGATTGTAGTACAGAGACCTCAAATAGACCTGGAAATGATACGAGCCATAGTCTAAACTCCTTGTTATCCCCTGAGATAACCCCTACAATACTCCCCTATATAATCCCATATAAAACACCTTTTAAGGAGTTTAGCTATAGCTCATGTTGAGTTATTGCGGCCACTGTGCTACGGGGCCACGCAGTGCAGGTCCGTTGTTCATCTTTCGTGGAGGGTCAGAGGGGACTTGAGAAGTATGCCTGTATTGTCCCCGTTATTTAGGGTTTAGGATGTAGGGTTTAGGGTTTAGGGTTATAGCCCCCCTTAAGTAGATAGAATATGGGGTATATGGGGATCCTATTATAATATTCCCAAAGCCATATTCTATCCACCTAAGCTGGACTATAACTGAATAAGCCATAGGACCACCCGGTTATCCACATTAACCTTGAAGTGCCTTTGCTGGAATAGTCTTCGGGGTGTTTCTTGCTCGAACCCAATGTTCCCGTCCTTGTTATTGGCCTCACCCTTGCGAAGTGCAGCTGCACCCTGCTCAGCTCAAGTTTGCTTTTGTGTTTTTGTGCGAGTCCGCCATGTCGGAAATGCATGTGGTATTTATCATGATGCCATCAACAGGGCACATGAACCCTGCCCTGCCAATCATGGCAGAACTGGCCTCCCGAGGAGTGATTGTAACGTGTTATGTTCACGAGCAGTTCCAAAAGGTTGTGGAAGCCACCGGTGCCCGGTGGCGACGGATGCAGAGACCCCATGACCTGACCGATGATCAAGCTGCAAAGTATCTACCAGGCCGGCCAAAGACAGATTGCCTCTTCCCTGCCAGTACAGTTCCTGTGGCAGCTTCTATCCTTCCTGGGCTTATTGCTGACCTGGAGTCTCTCCAGCCAAAAGCCGCGCTGATTGCATATGATCCGTTCTTGCCGCAAGGCCAATATTCCCAAACCTTTCCTGGACCTGAATATTTGACAAAACAATGGCCCAAAAAAACCCAAACAGGGTCCAAAGGGCCAACATACTTTGTTGGGTCCAGGCTGTCCCTCAACCCCAACTGGATACTGCCCCCACTCAGTAGCAGCTTGATAGCACTTCTATTAAAACTCTATCTCTCTCTCTCTCTCTCTCTCTCTCCATATATATATATACACATACATATAGGGATTGAGGTGTAGGGCTAGACCTTAATATTTCCCCTATTATAGACTGTTACTGCGTGGGGTGCAGTATCCAACCTAAGCCCTCAGCCTTCAGCGCAGGCTTCGTTGCCGCCCAGCACCTAAAGCTCCCATCAGTCAGCTTACTAAGCTACACCGGCCCTGGGGTGGTTATTGGGCTCTTGTAGAACTCAATTTTACTTTTTCATGGATACCTGTGTCCAATATCAGCTTTAAAAAAGAGATTGTTTTTTAATAGTATTTCAACAAGAACCCAGGTTAGCTGCAAGCCCTCTGTCACTCTGCAGTGGGAGACGAACCCGGCAGTGCAGATGGGGGCACAAGAAATCCGGGAGTGCTACTTGGTTGCCTTGCGCTGGCTCTTAGGACTTTAATTTTTGGGGGGGTTCCTACTAAGTATATTAGGGAGCCCAAAAGTTTAGTTTGCTACAGATGGCCAAGGCTACAACATAGACATCTTCGAACAGGGGACTGTTGGTGAGTTTTACTCACCGGATCGAAACACCGTCACAACCTTTGAGCGATTGTTTGCACCTCCAGTGTCAGAGGTGCAGAAGAAGCGCCTGGGGCATCTGTCCTTCCGCTGTATGCAGGCTTGAATTGCACGCCTTCTTGTTCTGGCCATTTCTGTAGGGTTAAAGCCTAACCCTAACTAAACTGGCTACACAAAGCATCCTGTTCCTTACAGGCACAGGGAGTAGGGATTAAGACAAAGCAGCGGGTCCTATCTGGGAGCTATCATGCCAACACATCCCTAGGACTTCCCAAAACACTACTCACATGGACAAACTAGGGTTTAGGCTTTAGGGTTTAGGGTTTAGGTAGATTGGTTTATGGTATAGGGTTTGGGGTATAGGGTGTATTGCTGAGGGTCAGATGGAGGAAGTCTTGCACCACCCTATCTTACCTCCACCCTAGGAAGAGGACTCTAATCAGAGAACCCTAAGAATATAGTAGGGATATCAGGACCCTGGCAGGCATATTCCTACTACCTGACCACTACACTCTTCGGGTTCCCACTTTGGGGTCCGGAGTAGGGCCGCTTTAGATTGGGGATCTTCAGTGGTGCAGAATTTCCTCCTTTTAGGGTTTAGGGTTTGGGATTAGTTAAGGGTTTAGGGTTCCACCAACGCCCTAAACCCTAAACTGTAAGCAGAGGCATTGGGCCTATGTTTACTTCGGATGCTGAACGGATTTCCCACGCCTGGGCTTCGGACGAACAGCTCGCAAAGGAGTTGCCCCTAAGCGAAAGCCAGTTGTATTTAAATCGAGGTTTCTAGGATTCTAGAGCCCTTATGAAACATCTCTTGTAGAAGTCTAAACCCTAAAAGGTCACCAGTGTATGCCAAGTATATAAGGACCCAAGCCCTAAACCCTAAATCCTGAACCCTGAACTCTAAACCCTAAACCCTAAACCTACATCCTAAGCTCTAAACCTAGGTCCTGGTTGGGGTTGTTTTCAACTGAGGCCCTGGCAGGCCATTGACCAAGCTCGCGATCAGTCCAAGCGCGTCGTTTACGTTTCGATGGGCACTGTGGCAACCTCGTCGTTTTGGGCTAGGAAGTTGCTAGCTGGCAACTGAGGCATAATCTAAACTCCTTACTTAAACGGGTTATATAAGGGTTATATAGGAAAGTGGCTCGCTTCCCCCATACAAGCTTTAGATGGGCCTTATACTCTAGTCTTCCACATAAGCCTTATATACGCCTTATGTTAGGGTACTCATCTGGTAACTCCCCACCTGGAAATTCCTTTAATTGAGTTGCTGTGTATAGCAGTTTCTAAATGAATGTAGCTGACCAGTGACTTCCAGCTTTGCTTTTTGTCATAGCGAAAGGAGACGGAAACTACTCAATGTAGAGCTTGCAGCTTTCATGTTAACACTATCCTTCGTTTCTTGCTGGCAAGAAGCGTGCAAGCACCGTAAACCCGAAACCCTCGACCCTAAAACCTAAATCCTAGATAAGCTTACAACTGGAGGAACCCAAATACGCCCAGCTAGGAAGGCTATACGTCGGGTTATAACCCCAGTTAACAGTAGTAGCTTAAATCCCTGGAATCGCCAACTAAACATTCCAAGATCCTCCCCTTATTGGGGGGTATCTTGGGGACCAAGACCTCTCTTAGTACCCTTGATTCGGATTCACATCACCTTTGTTCTAAATGCACGCAAGCGTGCTACCATTAGTACAGTCGAGTAACTTAACCCCACATCAACTGGGGGTTCCATGGATAAGGGATCCCAACTATCGACCCCAATGCAGGGCAGTCTTTACTGTCAGGGCTTCCAGAAAGGGAGTCTGACTTTCTTTATGGAAATCTCTCCTGCCTATGACATTGAACCACTATGTAGCCGAAATTTCCGTTTAATTTTCTGTTTTCTTTTCCACTAGGTTCTCCCTTCATGGGGCAGGCAGCAAACTCTCGTAAAAATCCTGGAGTCTAACCCCAAACCCCATATATCCCTATGCAACCTCTATATATCCCTATATTACCCCCTATACCCCTCATATAACCGGATGGAGCACACTTATATGTGTATATATATATATGTATATATACATATATGTCTCTCTCTCTCTCTCTCTCTCGCTCTCTCTCTCTCTCTCTCTCTCCAATATGGCGCTATATAATCAGGTTTGGTCCCGTTGCGGAGGAGAGTGGTCTGCAAGACTTTAGTGGCAAGGAGTTCGTCCATTTCGTGCTTAAGGCAGCCTTTGAAGCATTCGAGCATGAGGATGACATCTTGGTAGTGGCCACCATAGGTCCACAAGCAGATGCGCTCAATGAACTTCCATCTCCACCGCAGAATTTCATCCTGCAAGAGGTTGTCCCCCAGTTGCAGCTCCTTCGAAAGTGCGACGTCTTCGTTACGCACGGTGGCGCAAACAGCATACACGAGGCTTTGGGGCTGGGTCTGCCCTTGGTGGTTGTGCCCATGTGACTGGATCGTGTTGGACCAAAACCCTGCTGGGGCCCTTAATTGGGGTTATAGGGCTCCTACGGTTAATGAAATACTGGGGTACCTTATACCTTGGGAAATATGGTACTATAATATGTTAAGGTCATGCAGGTTTTTAGCATCAACAGCAAATACCTGGTACCTAGGCCAGAATAGAGGATAGTTGGAGGGTCTGGGGACGCAGCTTCTACATGTCTACGAACACATGAATATCAAGAAGCGAACAGGGGCCAAACATGGTTGTCTCCGAAAGTTGGGAACCCCAGTATAGATCCTGATATGCGGTCATTTAATCCTGAATTATCAGGGAGGCCCCTGAAAAGGGTTCCCTTAATTGATTTTGTTCTCTCTATGCCACAACCCTAAACCCTAAATCCTGGCCTAAACCTAAACATTATAGTATGAATTATATATGTGCATACACATACACCCTGAAACCCTCAACCCCTAAACCCGTAACCCCTAACCCCTAAACTCCAAAACCCCCAAACCCTAAACCCTTGAAGCCCTAAACCTCTAAACCCTACACCCAGGTTCGGGGACCAGCCCCTGAATGCAGATGCGTTGGCGAAAACCGGCGCCGCCGTGGCCTTTAAAATTCCTGGGCAGATGCTGACACCGTCACAGGGGTAGATTTGAACACAGTTTTAGATGTTTAGGGTCTAGGGTGTGTAATTCTCATAAAGCCATAGAATTCTAGTTCTTGTAGGGCCCCCAAATCCCTAAAAACCTTGCCCCTAAACCCTACACCTTCCCAAGGTTAGCTCTCCGCACAGCTGTCCGACAGATTCTCCAGGGAGATGAGACTCCCGGCTGGCTTGATCATGGGACCATATGGAGTTGAGGGTTTAGGGCTTTTGGCATTTAGGGGTTTAGGGTTTTGGGGTAGGGTCTGGGGGTTAGGGGTTTACGGGCTCAGGCTTGAGGGGATAGGGGTTTAGTGGTTTAGTGGTTATGTGTTTAGAGATTTACGGGCTACTTGGGAGGTCACGGGGACTTAGGAAGTAGATTAATAATCCGGATATCTAGGGTTATTCCCTGGGTTATGGGGGTTTTTAACCTACTTACTCAGTCTCCCTGACCCTTTAAATATCCTCCCCCCTATCGCAAATAAGGCCTGAATGAGCCTGAAGTAAACCGTAATTGGGCTTTTTGAGGTTCTGTTCTGGGGAAGGGAGCAAAGTGTGGTGGAATCCATAAACCTTCAAATCAGACGGGAATTTGGGCTAGGACTTTAGACTCAGGATTTGGAACTTGGCGTTTTACAGTTTAGGGTTTAAGGTTTGAATAGCCGTGAAAACTAAGGGACATACTCACCCTATTGTGAAGGGTCCCAATCTTGCAACCGTGAACTCTTGATGATTATTAGTTCCAAGGATAACGTGGGAACCTATTTCAAGATCCATGGGTACTTCTGCGGGGTCAGCCTACCTCTATGCCCATCTGTAATTACTCATGCACCTCCAAGTAGATGGTGCAGAATTTCTTCCAACAACAGCTGGATACCCAAAACCCTTAACCAATTTTTTTCGAATCCACCAACAGAAAGCCACCCGGGAGCCCAATGCCCCTTTATGCAGAAGGATATCCTAAGTCATAGATAAGCTATAAACCCAGACCCCCAAAGGGATCTACAAATTACATCCCTTAGAACCATATGGGAAATTATATTCGGGATAATATAGGGGTTATAATGGGTTTATATAGGGGATCTAATTTTTAGATCCTCTCAGGGGTTTGGGCATGGATTCATGTTGCTATTCAATGTAGATTCCTAAGTCAGGGGCTTTTCGGCTCCCTGGAAACATTGGGATCCCTGGGACCCTCTATACAAACCATTTCGTGGTCCAGTTGCTTCTCCACTATAGTGTTCCCTACATCCAGGCGCTTTGGAGTCTATGCCCTAAACCCTAAACCCTGAACCCTAAACCCTAAAGGGCCTAAACCTTAAACCCTAAACCCCTAAACCCCTAAACCCTGAACCCTGAACCCTAAAGGGCCTAAACCTTAAACCCTAAACCTGAATCCCTAAACCCTAAGCCCTAAACCCCTAAACCCCTGAACCCTACAGCCTAAGCCACGTATGGCCCAGGAACCCTTTCCGACTTGCGGCCCAAGAGCTTAGCCGCGAGATTGCTCAAACAGGCACAGAAGGGGGGTCTGGCTTCAGGATGGGGATGGATGGGTTTAGGGTTTAGGGTTTAGGGCTTAGGGTTTAGGGTTTAGGGTTTAGGGTTCAGGGCTTAGGGTTTAGGGTTTAGGGTTTGGGGTTTGGGGTTCAGGGTTTAGGGAATCAAACATGGGCGTTTCTTAAGAAGCATGACGTCTTTGAGTATTCACCGGAATGACAGGATAGTGCCTTCGGTACATGTCAAGACACGAATACGGAGAAATCTCCATCTCGTGCTCCTTGCAGCACAGTGAAGTCTTCGTGAATTGAGATCAGGATTGGAAGGAAGCCCTTGCAATATGCTAAAAGAGCCTAATTCCCAGTATCATCATAGTATAGGGCACCTCATACGTATGCGTCAACAGTCACCCTCAACCCTAAACCTCATTCAGGCCCCCACATAGTCAGGTGGAGTCTCGAATGCTGCAGATTTCATTCTGTTCGGAGATGACAGCCCCTGATTGGAGGCTCATGGGACTTAATGACTACTTATAGCTGGGATGAAATAAGTGGAATAACCTATGTAACTCCAGTTGGTGGATTATACCCTAAACGCTTAACCCGGAGGAGGGTTAGACGCCCAATTATAAGTAGTTTCTAAGTCCCGTGAACCTCGGTGTGCAGCCAAGTTGGCATGGGCGCGAGCCCTAGACAGAGCCAGGGGCCTTTTTTTCAGGGTTTAGGGTTTAGGGTTTGGGGTTCAGGGGTTTTTCCCAATCCCGATAATTAGTGAGGACCTTCTGCTGACATAGTATCATATTGTAACAGAGTCCTATTTTTACAGTGGGAGGAACTAAAGCCCCCTGATTACTGTCCACGGACTCTGGACGCGTTGTCCGGAATATTCTTTGCCCTGATATGAGCTTTAGTCTAAACTTCTTAAAGGGGGTTATACAGCGGACACCTCCTGTATAAAAGTGAGTATTACAGGTGTTAGTAAGGGGGATACTAGTAGTTTAGACTATAGCTAATATCTTTGCGCTAGATTTTTCTGGCCGAAAAAACGCAACACCTAGCATATGTCTAGGTTGCTTGAAGCCGCATGCTGCTGCTCTGCGGAAAAAGGGCCCATGGGATTTTCCAACCCTAAGCTAGACCCTTAAACCCTAAACCCTTAAACCGCGTGTGCTCATCATGGAATGGCTCAGGGCCCTTCGGCGGGCCTCATCAGTCTAGCTTGCTTCAAGCCATTCTCAGCATAGGAGATTCTGACTTATTGGTGCAGGGCTTAGGGCCTCTAGGGTTTAGGATTCAGGGTTTAGGGTTCAGGGTACGCAACCCTAAACCCTAGACACTCAACCCTCAAAGGGTACGCCACCAAAATCATGTTGCTTCGGGTACAACCATGCTAGAGGAAGGCCTCACCCCTTAGTAGCTGACAGGGTAACTTGGAAGTTTTCGGGACAATCCAAGTATAACTAAGCCTGTAAACTTGTTTTAGACCAAAGAACCCAGCAATTCGTGTAGAAGTCTGAAATTTGCCGATGTTATGGCCCTAGATTATTTGTGAATCAGCACAGCGTAGGGGTCCTGAAGAAGAGAAACCGTAGACCCTAAACCCTAAGTCTTAAACCCTAAGCCCTGAAGAAATCAGAATGACCTTGGTCTTCATTCAGGCACCTGATTACAGTACTTGAAGGTCATGGGGACTTAGAAGTAGGTCAATAATGGGGACAACTAGGGGTACTATGTGCGCTACAGGGGTTATAAACCTGCTGACCCTCCAAGTAGGCTACAAATGCAGCATCTGTTTCTCAAGAGATGGTTTTGGCTTCTGACCTAGACATGCGTGGACACGCCACAATCATCTACCCTTCCCGAACTAGCATGGAAGCCCTAAACCTTAAACCCTAGACCCGAAGCCAGAAAACCCTAACTCCTAAACCCCATGCTCACCCACCCCCTTTTGTTGGCGTTCCACGGTTAGTTTGGAGTAGGGCAGTGCTTGGGTTCTGAGGTGAGGGCGCCGGGTCTGGATTTTTGGGTTTCGGGCCTAGGGTACCCACCCGGAAGATCTAGAAGTGTGACAGCAAGACAGGCTACCAGCATCACAAAGCCTCATCCATCCCAGGACCATGCCGCACTCTTTTCACCTCCCATCAATGCCTACTTTTCATCTACCTTGCCAAACCAGAAATCTGGAGAGTCGAAGACCATGGAGGAGGAAGTAAAAGTTTGCTGTTGCGGGACCCTAAACCCAAAATGCAAATCCATAGACTGCCTCACCTCTCCCGATTTTTTGATTACCGCATAGTGGCATAATTGCGCTGGAGGCCAGCATGTTCTTGTAGAATCACACCCCCTAAGTAGCTTTAGCTAACGACCCCAACGCAGTCCCCAACATACTATAGTCTCCCTCTTATTGGGATCCCCAGGAAATGCTGTTCTTTGCGTCAAAGTCGCCCAGCAGCGTCCCTTGACCACCGAAATTATCATTCGAGCTATAGTCTCAACTCCTCAAAGGGGATTATATACGGGATTATAAGGGGGGATACTAGGAGTTTAGACTATAGCTCATATCATGGTTTAGGCTGCGATTCAAGCCTCCACTCACAAATCCCCTATGCTATAGATGTCCTCAAATTGCTTAGAGTAAGGCCCCCCATACCCCGAACCTTAAAACGCGAGTACGCAGCTAGCAGCATCTCGTGGGAGGTCTCTAGGCCAGATACACTCGCGATAATACAGAACTTCCTCAGTGCCATGGTACCAGACTTCCTAAGGGTTTAGCGTTTAGGATTTCGGGTGTAGGATTTAGGATTTCGGGCTTGGGGTTTAGAACTTAGGGTTTAGGGTCTAGGGTTGAGA